TGATTTACTCCGGGAATGCAAGGTTGGTTTAATATTCTAAAACCAATGTAATCCACCACATTGACAGACTAAGAAGAAGGAAAAACCATATGATCATCTCCAAAGATACAGAAAAAACATTTGACAACATTCACTACCCATTCATGATTTTAAAAACAAGCACACAAAACTCTTAAGCAAACTAGGCGAAAAAGGAACATCTCTAACCTGATAAAGGGCATCTGCAAAAAACCTACAGCTAATGTCATACTTTGTGCTGAAAGCCTGAATGTTTTCCTCATATGTCTGAGAACAAGGCAAGAATGGCCACTTTCACCACTTTCCCCCACCATTTAACTTCTTATAGTGAACTCATTTTAAACCACACAGACGTAAAACTGAGATAGTATAGCTCTGTTCCCTTCATGCAGCCCTCTCTGGTGCTAACACCTTACAGTTACCACGACTGTAAGCACAGTGATCAGGCCCAGGAAACTGACATTGCTCTCATCGCTTTTATTCACAATCGTCTGATGGGATGTCCCAGACAGTGCAATTAGCCAAGGAAAAGAAAGTCATTCAGACTGGAAGAGAAAGCGTAAAACTGTCTTTATTTGCCAATGACAAGATTGACTAGATAGAAAAGCCTAAGAAATCTTCAAAAAAATAGCTACCAGAACTAACAGTTGAGTTTAGCAAAGCTAAAGGATGCACAGTGCCCATACAGAACTAAGTTATTTCTATGTAGCCACAGTGAACAATTGGAAACTGTGAAATAGATATAAATAGTTACATATAAACATGTGCAAGATCTATAGACTGAAACTGCAAAACACGGATGAGATCAAAGCCCAAATAAATGGAACAATATAGTCTTGATGGATGAGAATACTCAATTTTGAGATGGAAAAAGTCAAAGGACTTCTACTGTCTGGCTTCTGGACTTAATATATATTAAGCTATAGGCAATCGAAGCTGTTGTATTGGCAGGACAATAGACCTGTAAATCAAAGGAACACACAAGAGTCCATAAATAGACCCATATGTGTGTGATCCGTGGATTTTGGGCCAAGGTGCCAGAGTAGTATAGTGGGGGAAAAGATTGTTTTTGCGTAAGTGGTGTTGGGACAAGTCTTATCTCTATGGAAGCAAATGATTGAAACCCTTAACTCCCACCATTCACAAAATTACCTCAGAGTAGATCCTAGAACTAAATGCAAGAGCTAACACTACAAAACTCCAGAAGACAGCAGACCTTTGGGCCAGGCAGAGACTTCTTCAACATGACACCAAAAGAATGAGACTTTGAGCTTCATCTAGATTTGAAACCTTCATCCTTCAGAAGACGCTGTTAAGATGAAAAGGCATGAAAAGATAAAAACAAAATTTGTAGATCCTATCTGCTAAAGGACTTGCATCCAGAGTATGTACAACTCAGAATGTGTACAACTCAGTAATAAGACAAACAGCCCGATTTAAAACGTGCCTAGGATCTAAATAGGCACTTCACCAAAGAGGATGTACGAGTGACAAGCAAGCGTATGAGCAGATGCTCAACAGCATTAGCCATTAACACCACAATGAGACCCCACTGCGTACCCACCAGAATGGATACAATTAAAAAGACTGGCAACACCAAGTATTGGTGAGGATTTAGAGTGGCTGGGACACTCAGACAATTGCCAGTAGAGATGCAGAATGGCCAGGCCACTGTGGGAAACAGTTTGATAGTTTCTTAAAAAGTTAAACATCTAGGGGCGCCTGGATGGCTCAGTCGGTTAAGCTTCCGACTCTTGATCTCAGCTCAGGTCTTGATCTCAGAGTTGTGAGTTCAGGCCCCCCACTGGGCATGGAACCTACTTAAAAAAAAAAAAAAAGTTAAACATCTGTCATATGACCAGGTAACCCTATCCCTAGGTATTTTACACAAAAGAAAGCAAAGCTTGTGTTCACACCAAGTCTGCTCCCCAAACGGTCCTAAGAGCTTTATTCATAACAGTCACAACCTGGGAATGTCCCAAATGGCCGTCAATGCAGAAATGCATAAGCAAACTTATAGTCCGTCCATGGCGGGGGAGGGGGGCGGCTAGAACAGAGAACAAAAATGAACCAGTTACTGGTATTTGCAGTGACATGAGTGAATCTCAAAAGCAAAAGCATCGTGCTAAGTAAAAGGAGCCAGATACAAAACATTACATATTGTATGTTTCTATTTATATGAAAACACGCAAAGCAGATAGGTGGTTGGCAGGGATGGGGACCGACTGCAAAGGGGCTTAAGGGCACTTTTGGGGTGATGAAAATGTTCTGTACATCATGGTTGTGGTCATGGTTGCTGTCTATATACCTTTGTCAAAACTCATTCAATCTATGCATTTTATTGTATGTAGATTGTATCTCAAGCCAATTTTTTAAAAAGAGAAGTATAGGTTTGAATCCCAGCTCCTTCCCTTCCAGCTGGATAACTGGGCCAATGTTGCCTCTCTGCACCTCTGTCTTCTCACCTACAAGGGGGTTAAGAAGAGTAGCTGCTTCCCATCGGGGTTTGAGTATCATGCGTGTGGACGGGCCGTGGCAGGTGCATGGCTGCGTGGACGTTGGGCGAGGGGGTGGGGTAGCCTACAAGCTAGCTGAGCGTTCTCTCCTGCCTCGGTGGCAGTGGCTTCCTGGTGACAGTAACATCGTGCACACCATCACAGCTGGGTCCAGGCATCCGTGGTGTCCGGGGCTTTCAGTCTCCTTCTCAGAACTGAGAGGAGCGGGGCATCTCAAGTGCCAGTTCCATGGTCCCCTTTGCAGAAAGCCCCAGGGGAGCAGATACTCTGATTCCACGAAGAGGCCTCAATCTTATATTTTACTCCCTTCAACTTGAAGGACTTCCCGGGACTGTGGGGCTAAAGATTCAGCATCTTGAGTTTTAAACTTGCCACTGTGAACATTAATAAAAGGGAAACTGGGTTAGAATGGAGCGGGGCGGCCAGCAGGGGGAGCTCTCCCAGCCAGTGCCTGTTGCCCACTGCAGACCCAGCAGGAAGAGAGCACCTTGCACCTGGACCCCACTTGACTACCCCACCTGGTGGAAGGAAGGTTTCTTCCTCCCCCTGCAACAGCCCAGCCAGTGAGACACCCCCATGCTTCTAACTCCCAGTTTACTCCAGGGGGCTTTCTGTCTCTAACAATGCCCCCTTCTCTCTATAGAAGAGCCTCCTCTTTGTTTGGTGGACCTGCCTGTGGTTCTGCCATTGGTTGCTTATTCCAGGTTGCAATTCTCTGCTCTTCCTGAATAAACTGATTTTTGCTGGTAGGATAACTGGCAGTTTTATTTGTAAAGCTAACGCCACCAACACCTCCCAAAGGACTTCCTTTGTCTCCTTTCCCTGACGGGCAATTTGTTTGGGCGGAACTCCGTGGAAACTATGTGAAGGAAGGTTCCGGAGGTTCTGTGCCAACAAACCTGAAGCTCCTTGATCTGGATGGGATTTTAAAACTCACCACGGTCTCTTTTGCCAGCACTGTTTCCAGATGCTTCTCCCCCTGGATACCTACGGTTTCTTTGGAGGGAGCTAGATGAACCATGCCACTCCCTAAAACCTTACGTCTCGGGCAGATAGCCATTAAATGCTTGACCTCGGGGCTCAGTCCCTGGGACCACAGGCTGCCAGGGAGAAAGTGTGTCTCTGCCGGTGGCTCTCAGCCCTGGCTGCACACGGCAGCCACCTGGAAGGCTTTAAAATGCCCATGAATGTCCCCACCCCAGAGATGGAGACTGAGTGGACCTCGGCATTGGGAGTTGGTAAAATTCCCACGTGCTTCTCATGTGCAGACCAGGTTGAGAGCCGCAAGGCTAAAGAGACCTGGGGACATTCCAAGGGACAGTTCTCATCCAGAACCTTGGGATGCAGGTGACCAAAACAATAGAGGGCGTTGATTGCCTCATTTAACCGCAAATCCCAGAACTTGACCTTGACTTCAGGCCGGCTGGAGCCAGGGGCTCAGACCACTGCGTCAGGACCTCCTGCCTCCATGTCCTGACTCTGCCCAGATGCCCCCTAGAGGGTCCCTCCAAGAGCCTGAAGCTGACTCGCGCCACACTGGCTGCCATCACGGCTCCTCCCTGACACTATCCCTGTGGCAAGGGGCCTGCAGGGCTCTGAGCTGTCAGTTCTGGGTCCAACTCCGGGGGAGCCTGGGGTCCTCAGAGCACAGCGTGGGAGCGAGAGAGGGTGCTTCCCCAAGGGAGAACCGTGGGTGCCGCCTTCTCTTGGAGGCCAGGGATGGCTGGAAGGGGGGCTGGACACTTTACAGCCACTCGAGAGGCTTTGTCCCCTGCCCCGCCGGGGGTGAGACGCTGGGAGAACAGCCGGTGTCGAGGGTGGGTGGCATCCTCTGCTGGTGACCAGCGCAGGCTCTGGGGGTCACTGCTGCGCGTGGGGCCCAGCTCTTCCCATTGCTGGCTGCATACCTGAGCATGTTGTCTCATGTTTCAGGGCCTCCCTCCCACTGTCAGGGGCACGACTCTGTGTGGCCTCGCAGAGGGGGCCCTCTCTGGGAGGTCAGGCACGCCAAGCACCCAGAGCCAGGCGGACTCATAATGGGCAGCCATCCTGGTGGCATCCCCCTGCTGGCAATGTGCCAGACCCGGGACACGGCTCAGAGCGTGCAGTGGGAGCCCACAGTCACACCGGCAGGTGCAGACCCTGCCTGTCTGTGCCTACCCTCACTCTGCCTCCCACTGCCCCCCCCCGCCGCTTCCCCTCCCTGCCCTCCCCCAACGCCAGCCCTGGGGGCCCGTGCAGCTTAGAAGATCGTTTATGTTCACGTGTAGCTGTTGGCCGTCTTGCTGTGGTTATGGTCAGCTACGCTGCCTGCCTCGGGCCACTGCCACCCCGACATCCACAGTCAGAGCTGAGGGGAGGGAGGGGCCCAGGGAGCCTTGTTGGCAGCCAATTGCAGAAGAAACCCAAGTCAGGTGGTTTCTAGAAATCGAAACTAGACTGTTTTCTCTGGTATTTCCTGGGACCAGCCTGACCACACTGCATACTGGGAGGGTTTTCTGGGTTGAAGGACAGGCCACAGAGGGATCCTGCAGCGGGAAGCTGAGAGACTCCAGGGCAGCCGTCAGTAGTTGCCTCAGGCAGGTAAGCTCATGCCTTTTGCTCTCAGGTGGGTGTCCCTCTCTCTACCCAATGTCACCTAGTGGGTATAATCTCCCTGTTTGTACCCAACTGGGGATCTGGTGCTCTTCCTCAGCCCAGGGACCATCATTGCTGCTCCCAGATCCATAGGGTCTCTATATGTACAGTTGCCCAGGTTGCTCACTGCACAAGGACGAAGGGGCAAGCAGGCTTGGAATTCAGCCCAGTATGCTCTCCCCAGTTTGTGCATTTCGGCCCAGGCCTATGCCTGTCCAGAGGAAGAGTATCTTTTTCTAATTTGCAAAAGGCACCAAATGAGCCAGGATCAGGCAGCCCTATCCCAACTTCTGATACAAGAGAATCGGTCTACAACAGGTGGCCGTGACCACCCCAAGGGCAGCCACATTTGGGTACAATATACCAGGTGCATGATTGGCCATTGTGAATGCAGACCTGGGGTGCTGCCTTGGGGCCGCCAGGCCCTGACCCGTAGGGGTACCCACAACAGCTGCCTCCTGCTCTACTCACTGGGCCTAGGAGTGGTGCAGGGGCCACGGGATTCTCATGAGCCGGAGAGACAATGACTGACTTCTCCACTTTCAGGACATGGCGGGGACAGCAGGTGGGGAGCAGGTTGGGGGCGAAGGTGAAAAGCAAGCCCAAATAATTCTAGAGAAGCAAGAACTCCAGGCAAAAGTTTGGAAGAGCTGGGCCTCCCCATGCTCCCTGTGCCCCACCCAGGCTGACTGTGTGGCCTTGGTGGCCCCAGCTTATCAGAGCTTCTGTTTCTTGGGGACACTGATCTCGGGCAGGTCCCCACCCAGCCACCCGCTCAGCATTTCCTCCCCACCCTGCTCCCCCAGCCCCTACCCAGCTGCAGAGTCAGTCCCAGACCGCAGCCCTGATCCCCCTCCTCCCTGCTCCCAGCCACCTCCTCTGGCCCTCTCTGTCACTCCCGCCTGGCTTTCTGTGGCCTCCTGATGTGCCCCCTCCCTTCGGGGGCTCACAGATCTCTCTCCAGCCCTCCCACAGGGGTCCAACTGCCTGAAGATAAAGCCCCGCCCCACACCCAGGCCTCTCCTGATCTGGGCCTCGCTCACATGCCCCCGACTCCTCCCTCCACCCTTCCCACCCAACCCCACTGCTGGCCATGCTGAGGGCCTGGTTTTCTGAGATGGACTTTTGTTCCCACTGTCCTGCTGCTTAGAGACCTCCCCCAGGTCCCCTCCCCTTTGGGGAAGTCTTAGTCCTCCCTCCTTGGAGGACCATGCCCCAGACAGGTGGGGGACCCCTACCACACAGCTCAGAGGAGCAAGGACTGTGCCTGTCTGCTGTCCTCCACACGTAGGGTCCAAAGGGTCCTGGACACACAGGGGCCTAGGCCCCAGGGCTGTCCAGCTCTGCTGTCTGATTCTGCTGCTTCCTTCTGTCGCAGGACGAGGGCCTCCCCTCCCAGGAGAGGCCATGGCCGTCCCACTGCTCCTCTGGATGTGGCTGCTGGTTGCAGGGACTCAAGGTGAGCTGCACCCCAGGAATGCTGAAAGCGGCCGTCTGAGAAGCTGCCGCTCCCCGTTCTGTGGCCTTGAGCCCTCGCAGAAAATCGAGGCAACGTTTAGCCCGGGTCTTCTCTCCTGCTTGAAGCCCTGGTTATCCTAAGTGATGGTGGCTTGTAGGTTCTGGGGGGATACCAAAGGATTCTCCATTTCATCCCGTGGGAACCAGAGGGACTGAGCAGTAGGAGCCCATCGGACAGGCCAAGTGCGGGGGGCGGGAGGGTCATGAGTCAGGGCCCTTCCATACAGTCAGACTTGCAGAGTTCAGACGCCGGTCCTCATGCTCTCTGCACTTCGGGCTCAGGAGGCCCTTCCTTGTCCTGGTGTCCGCATGGAGGCTGGCTACTCCCCCAGCTGAGAGCCGCCCTCCAGCATGGCACCCAGCTCCTTCCTGACCCTGTCCCAGAGCAATCCCACTTTCTCTGTACGCCTGGCTCATTCTGCTGGTGTTTCTGGGGGTTCCTGGGCCTGCTAGTCCAGGACTTCCCCCCCCCCCAGCCCTCCCAGCGGTCCTTGCTGTGATGCGCACGGTGCACCCCAAGCCCCAGACACCCCCAGGTGGGATCAGCGTGGGCCCCTCCTCTCCCCCGTTCTTCCCCGGGGCCCCACCTCCCCCACCCTCAGGTGCCGGGGCTCCAGTTGCCCCTTCTGCTCCTCCTCTTATCCACGGAGGAAGGACTCAGACCTCAAAGACAAGAAAAGGCGCTTTACTCTCTGTGGGGGTGGGGGGTGCACATCTTCCACTCCTTCCCGGTGGGTGAACCCTCAAGGATGCATGGGGGGCTTTAAAGCTAATGGTTCAGTGGGCACCCCCTTGGGGGGAACTTGACAAGGGACCCCCCCCCCAGTTGGGAGAAGTGAGGGCCAAGGTGGTGCTTCTCTGCGGCGATGGAGGCCCCGCTGCCCGGCCTCCATCCCTGCTGATCTCTCTCTTCCCTCGGGAGCCTTGTAGGCGAGAAAGATGGGGACATGCGGCTGGCCGACGGGGACACCGCCAACGAGGGTCGCGTGGAGATCTTCTACAGAGGCCAGTGGGGGACCGTGTGTGACAACCTGTGGGACCTGACGGATGCCAGCGTCGTCTGCCGGGCCCTGGGGTTTGCGAATGCCACCGAGGCTCTGGGCGGAGCTGCCTTTGGGCCAGGTAGGCCTGCCTGTCCCCAGGTCCTCCAGAGCGGAGCCTCGCTGCCAGGCAGCCTGTGCCAGGAAGGGACTGTCACCTGAGACACGCACATGGCCTTCCTAACTCACGGAGCACTGGCAAACATTTGAAACAGTTCCGCGGGGGCTCTGACAGGCCATCCCGTTCCCTCAGGGCACATCCCTTCCTGAAACAGTCCCCCCCCCACCCCCCCGCCCCGAGGAGTCTGGTGCAGGGACATCTCCCCTGACACAGCCAACAGAGGCTGCTTCGTGGTACAGTGTTCCAAGCATAAACCCGAAGCCCCGCTCGGCTCGGATGGATGGGGGGGGCCCCAGGTTCTACCCGGTGCCAGACGGCGCAGGGGAGCGTGAGGGCCGAGCGGCCCTGGTCACAGATCGGGAGGCCCGCAGAGCGCTTCTCCCATGGCTCCTGGGGGAGCAGCCCCGTGCTGCCCCCCCCGCCAGTCCCCGTCCTCCTTGCTGTGCCACCAGGCACCGGCCCGGTCATGCTGGACGAGGTGGAGTGCACAGGCACGGAGCCCTCGCTGGCCAGCTGCAGGTCCCTGGGCTGGCTGAAGAGCCACTGCAGACACAACCAGGACGCCGGCGTGGTCTGCACCAACGGTGAGCCCCGGGGCACGCGCGCCTTCCATGCGGAGGGCACGCCTGTGCCCAGTTCCCCTGTGACGCCCTCCTGGCTGCGAGGGGACAGCAGAGCCTCCAGGGCCCGCCCCTCCCAGCAGTGATCCCGAACTCCCCCCCGCCCTTCCCTGGCACGGCTCAGAAACGCCACGTTCACCTGGGTCATCTGGCAAGAGCCGTGGGCCGCCTGCACGGGCCACCTGCCTGTCGCTTCTTTAAACCCCAGCCTCTCACGGTCGTCGGTCCTCATGCGCCCACGTGCCTCGACAGCAAGCTGAATGTGCCTTCAACCTGCCCTGATGGCGGGAGCCCACCCTCGCACCTCTCCCTGCCCCCCCCCGCCCCACCACGTGTGCTGACCTCGCCAGGTGCTCTGTGTTCTTCAGTCCCTGAATCCAGTGTTACTGTTGTCCACTTGTCCTTCTTCCTGGGCTTCACACAGGGTTTGGGGGCCAGTCAGAGCATTGACACAAGGAGGGGTCACGGGGGGCAGGGCGGGCAGGAGATGCACCTGGACCTGGGGTGCAGGGCAGGGAGCAGTCCTGGCGGGGAGCCCATGTGGGAGTGGGGGCCGGAGGAATGAGGGGCTGAACCCACCTGGCTGACGTGTCAGGACGGATTCAAACCTATTCGTGGCAAAGAAAGAGCAGGTGGAATTTAGTTCCCAGCTAGGCTTTGGGATTGTTGGTGGGAGGAGTCGCTTCTCTAGGCCTCAGTTCCTGAGGGAGCCTGCTAGGGGCCCCAAAGCTCGAAATTGAGTTTCCATAAGACCCTCACTCTTCAGACCATCAAACCAGGGAGAAGGTTTGGGTTTTTAGAAGGTGCCACCTGGGTCATTGCTTGATGGGTCAGGATTTTAAGCGGGTGGGGCCTCGGACTCTGGAAGTCAGCGGAGGGGCTGCCTGAATGTGGGGGAGCAGGGGATCTGACCAGGGGTGTTCGACAGGGGCGGGGAGGCTCTGGGCCACAGAGGGGAATGGCACCCTCGTCTTCCCCGAGCCTTCCTGAGTAGACGGAGCTGGGAGGAGCCTGAGTCCAGGGAGGAGAAGTGTTCTCGGTGACAGCACCTGACCTAACCGTACGCTCCCCTCTGCCCTTTCTAGCAACTCGAGGTGCCCACACCCTTGACCTGTCAGATGAGCTCCCTGCAGTCCTTGAGCAGATCTTTGACAGCCAGAGGGGCTGTGACCTGTCCATCAGGGTGAGGGCAAGGGACCAGGAGGAGGAGGAGGGCCTGGACTTGTGTGCCCACAGGCTGATCCTGTCTGCCAACCCCGAGGCTCAGGCCCTGTGGAAGGAGCCGGGCGCCACGGTCACCATGGAGGTGGACGCAGAGTGCCTGCCTGTCGTCAGAGACTTTATCAGGTGACCGCCCTTGGGATGGGGGCACCAGGGCCTGGGCACCTCCCCTCCGACAGCAAACCATGGGGCTACGGCACCGAGCACATCGGTGCTTTCACGGACACAAGCGTGTGTACGACACACACGTACATGCACACTCACCCCCACACACGTACCTACGTTCACCCACATTCACACCTGTGCACACGCTTGGGCGTACATGCTTGGGCTCACAGTCGTGTGCGTTCCACACTCACACATGTGCATATACACTCCGCTGCCACACTTATGTATGCACACACATTCGCACACTCCTACGTATACTTGCATACTCTGCACTGACACCCACACTGTCACACACAGATACATCGACTTTTGCAAAACACTGCATAAAACATCTCCCGAGGGCACTGCCACTATTACAAGAGGTCTCAGGTGCTCTGTGGGTTAGGAATTCGCCAGGAACAAGCTGGCTGGATTGGTGGGAGGTTGCCACAGGGGCCTGGGGCAGAGCTGGGAAGGGGCCCGGGTGTCGCCCAGAGCGGGAGGCTTCTTGCACACTTGAGGCCGCGGGTCTGGGCCACCTGCCTCGCGACACCACATCACACAGGCCCAGACAGCTATGTGGTAGGGGAGAAATCGGGTGGCCCAGAAACACACACACCACCCCTACCTCTTAGGTAGCCTAAGGATATGGTGTAATATTTCCAAGAACCTACAACCTAGTTATGAATTCGTCCTCCCGCTCCTCATGCACTGACCTCGCTTGTGTGAAAGGTAGAACCCCTGCAACTCCAAACCCATCAGAAAGTCTTACCTGGGCCTTTGCACACGCTCGGCAGCGCGCATGAGCCAGTGCCCCGCATGGGGAAACTGAGACACGAGGGCCCAGCCTGTCCTGGGCCTCGCAGGGGCTGGTGTTCAGAAAGCGTCCATTTACCCGCCCCCCGCCTTACGGGGGGCCAAAGGTGTCAGCCCAAACTGGCAGACATGCTTTCCAAAAAATAAAGAGAGACAACTGGTTCCCCCCCCAAAAGAAAGAAAGAAAGAAAGAAAGCATCCATTTAAAAAGAACTGCTCCTTTTTGTTCTTAAGACCTAAAGCTTTATATAGCAGGAAGTGACATTTAAGAGGAAACAACAAATGGCAATTTTTAATGAGATGAAAATGGTTTCTTTCCAGCCAAGTATGAGAAGTTGGTGGCTAGCCTGCGCCCCTCCCAGTGAGGTCCATTTCTGTGATATGTTTGAGGACGAGGGCAGGTGCCCGTGCCCGCCTTCCCGGGCCCAGCTGGAGTCGTGCCCTGGGTCACCAGGAGCAAGGGCTCCCAGTCGTCAGGGGAAGCAGACAGGGGGCAAGCAGGGCTGAAGGGGTCCAGCGGGAAGGAAGGGGCGGTGCCGGCCGAGGGGACAGCAGTGACGGGGAAGGCGGGGGACAGGAGGTGGTGGGGCTGCCTCCCTCGGGTGAGGGACAGAGCGTCATGCTCCAGGGCCCTGGGATCTGCCTGCTTGTCTGTGCACGTGGCTCTGAGCCAACCTGAGGCTGGAATGTGGGTTGACCCAAAGGATAAATGCATGGGGCACGGAATGCCTCTTGTGATGGCTGGCACTCCTGGGGGTGTCCGTGGGTCAATGGCAAACACATGGTCGACAGTGGTGTTGGAGAGGCAGGCCCGGCACACACCCGGGCAACCCCGTCGTCCTGCAGGGGCAGGGTGCACCAGGTGCTCAGCTTTCACTCCCCTCCCAGGTACTTCTACTCCCGAAGGCTGGATATTTCCCTGACATCCGTGAAGTGCTTCCACAAGCTCGCCTCTGACTACAGGGCCTGGCAGCTGCAGAGCTTCTGCGCCAGCCTCTTTGCCGTCCTCCTCCCCGAGGACCCCTCCTTCCAGACGCCCCTGGACCTCTACACCTATGCACTGGCCACGCAGGACCCCGTGCTGGAGGAGCTGTGCGTGCAGTTCCTGGCCTGGAACTTCAAGGCCCTGACGCAGGCCGAGGCCTGGCCCGGCGTGCCCACGGCCCTGCTGCAGGTCCTGCTCTCCAGGAGTGAGCTGGCCGTGCCCAGCGAGCTGGCCCTGCTGACGGCCTTGGACGTGTGGAGCCAGGAGAAGCAGCTTTCCCACAGGGAGGTGGAAAGCCTGGTGGAGAAGGTCCGGTTCCCCATGATGCTGCCCGAAGACCTGTTCGAGCTGCGGTTTAACCTGTCCCTGTACTGGAGCCATGAGGCGCTGTTCCAGAAGAAGACCCTGCAGGCGCTGGAATTCCACACCGTGCCCTTGCGGCTGCTGGCCCAGTACAGAGGCCTGAACCTCACCGAGGATGCCTACCGGCCCCGGCTGTACACCTCGTCCACCTGGAGTGCCTCTGTCTCCGGCGGTTCCGGGGCCTCGTCCCAGTCCTTCCAGACCCCACAGCACCCCAGCTTCCTGTTCCAAACCAGGCGCATCTCCTGGTCTCTGATCTACCTTCCCACCCTCCAGAGCTGCTGGAACTATGGGTTCTCATGCTCCTCGGACGAGGTCCCCCTCCTGCACCTCTCCAAGTCTGACTACTCGGAGCCCACCATCGGCTATGAAAACAAAGCCCTGATCCTCTGTGGGGGGCGCTTCGTGGCCCATGTCACCAACTTTGAGGGCCAGAAGGCCATGATCCCCAGCGCCCTGGGCACCAACAGTTCCAGGAGCGCCTCCCTCTTCCCCTGCCCGGCAGGCTCCTTCAGCAGCTTCCAAGCGGTCATCCGCCCCTTCTACCTGACCAACTCCTCAGGCGTGGACTAGACCGGAGCTTGGAGAAGCCAGGGGCCTCCCAGCGCCACTCCCCAGCCCCCCACAGCTGCTTCCCAACTGCCCGCTGCTTCCTGTCTGCAGCCACCCCCCAACGGCGGCCACCAGAGGGCCCTCCTGTTTCCACTGATCTCTCTGAGCTTAGAGAAAGTACCGGAAGGTTTCAACTAATGCCCACCACTGTGCCCAGAAGTCCCAGTAACGCCCCCGCCCCCACCGTCCGGCTGGTTTCCAGGTGGAGAAGCAGGGGAAGCGGGGTGGGGCAGCTGTTGGACTTTCCACGCCGACTTTCACTTCCCTGTCCTCTGCTGTCCCCCATCTGAGATCACTAAAATTGCGTTGTGGCTCCCAAGTTCCTGTGTTCGTGCAGAGAGTCATGAGTTCATTCTGCACTCAGACGTTGGGTGTGCTGGGCCCTGGGGCGCAGAATGAGCAGGCACAGTCCCTGTCCTCATGAAGCTATGATTTGGGCGTCAGGACACAAGTAGGCAAACATGCGGGATCATTAAAATTGGAATAACAGGTGATGAAAACCAAAGGAGGTGCGGGGGAAGGTGCGGGCTGGACCCACTTGGGGTTAGATCTCCGGGGGGAAATGAAGAATGAGAGCAGCAGGCGCGTGGAAATGCGGTGGAGCCGGGGGGAGGATGCGCTCCAGGGAGAAGGAGCGGCCCCAGCTCAGCACCGCGCCTCTGTCTGTCCTCGCACGCGTGCCCAGGGACGGGGACCCAGTGCCTGGGAGGACAACCTCCATGCCCCTCAGCAAGGCGCCCGACCACAAATAAACAAGGCCTGCACCAGGGCGGGCCGGCCAGAGGGACCCGCAGAATCTAGGCGGGGGCGGGGGCCGAGGTGGGGCCCCGTGAGAATGTCCCCACTACGAGGGGGATGGGAACTCTGGACTGTCCCTGCTTCTCTGTGATACACGCTCCAGGCCCGGGGTCCCCGGTGGAAGCATCTGGTTGGCTGAACCCAGGCCCCGTGCCCGCCGCTCTCCGCCGAAGTCTGAGCGCGAGCCTCTGGACCATCTTGGCCTCGGGAAGGGGAGGCGGCACCAAGCTCAGCCAATGGGAGGGGGGTTCAGACGCTGGGCAGCAGGCCCCGCCACACACTAATTCCCCACTGGCACTGCAGACGCAAAAGCAGGGGCACAAAGCCTCCCGCCTGCTCCCCTCAACTCCCCCCCACTCCCCGGCTCCGATGGCACACCCAGCTCCCGCTCCACCATCTTGGCCACTCCTGTGGCGGTCCCTTGATGTTGTCCAAGTCGATCATTTTACCTGCATCGCGCGTTGACGACAGAGAGCAAACATTGGCGTAAGCACGCCCCGGACGCAGCAGGGGACGCCGCCGGTGCAATTAGCCCCATGGTGGCACCGACTGTGGCTCTCCTCTCCTATGCTGCCCCGGTCCCCGGGGCCCCTGCCTGTGAGGAAGCCCGCAGCCCGGGGACACTCGGCCCCCTGCCCCCCGAGGATCTGCCCGAGTTCCTTCCACCCTCCGCACGCTTTTGCGCGGCAGCCCTGCTCCCCCGGCTCCCCTCGAGCCGCCTCTCCGCCCATTGGACTGGCCCAAGGGCGTGGTGAGACTGGCACCTTCCAACTCAGTGGGACATGGAGGTGTCTCCTGGTGGAGACATTGGTCTCTCGGGTGTAAACTCCCTGATGCGGCAGGGCCCAGAGTTTCCGAGGGCGCCACCGGTGACTAGCTGGACGGCTCGGGCACCGCTGGCTTCCATACCCGTGTTCTTCCCTGGCTCCGTGAGAACCACGTACTGGCCACGGGCTCAGCGTGTGCCGTGGGCCGGAGAGCCGTTGTTGACACGTTTGGCAGGAGATGATGGGGTTTGTAAGGACTCTGGAAGGAGGGTGGTTCCGGGCCCGGCCGACACACCTCTGGATCGAGGGTCTTCCACCTTTCGTCACTGTCACCCCGAGCCATGCGCCACGGATGTGTCACGGGCTGCGCATACCGAATCCCCGGGCCTTGGCTCCTGTGTGAGTGGGGGGCGGCCTCCATGCTGTTCGGCTAGTCCAGGGTCGGTAGCACTAAGACCAGTATGACGGTTGAGGAGGGCCGATCCCGATCTGGAATAAATGTCAGTTCCTTGGCTGGAGGGTGTCTGCTGTGAGCAAGTGCCCTGGGGAGCCTCATAAGCCGCCGGGTGAGGGCTCAGAAGCAAAGGTCAGATGACATCAGCCGGGGTGACCAGGCCAAGGTCAGCCCCGGCAAAGCCTCCCTCCCTGCCACCACGGCCACCCGGAGAGCCAGAAGAGCAGGCCCTTGTGGCTGGGGGGGGGGGGGGGGGGGCCGAGACCGCCCCTAAGCAGCCTGCCGGACTCCTGTGGCGGGAGGGTCTATGCTGCAGGGGGGCCTTTCCGTGAACAGTTCCCAGGCGTAAACATTCTCATCCTCTGTGACCATTCTAAGACATCTGTCTTCGTCCAGTTCCCAAAGCCTGCTGTCCCTCCTCCCCCACCGTACTCCTTCCATCCCAGGCTCTCTGACCAAACGACAGGCGAGGCAGCTGCAGACCCCCTTCCCTGTACCCAGATGGAGAGTAAGATGTCTGCTCAACCTTGAGTCCCCAAGGGAGGGCCACAATGCCTGTGGTGCACCTGAAACCAGGCTGCATTTTCCCCGTGAGCCTGTAGGGGGCCGAGGGAGCGGGGGCTGAGATGCAGGATAGCAGCAGTTTGTAGGTGCGAGTCACCCCTGCCTCCGGGGCTTGCTTGGGCCACTCTGCCTGCTGCTGGTGGCTCAGATCCCGTCTAGTTCACGGAGGGCGGCTCAGGACCCGTGTTCAGGTGCTGGGGCTCAAAGCTGGTCGTGGCTTGGAAGAAGAGAGGTTGCCTGCTGAAGAGGGCATAGCACGACTTGACTCCAAACCCCCAGACACCTCCTGGGTGGTCGTCCCGCCAGGCCCCCTGCGCTCCCCAGCGCGCCTGTGTGAATCTCAAGCACCCCTGGGTTAGCAGCTCGTGAAGGCATCTGTTCTGGTCCTGAGCACCTCACGGGCAGCTAGCCACATCCTCCCCCTTGCAGTCGGGAAGCCCCTGCCACCTGGCACCTCCCCCCGTCCATGTCCCCGGACGTTCAGGAAAGACAGCTGTCCGGGTCTGTCCAGATGAGGGGCTACGGATTAACTGCAGAGGTGCACACTTCAGGGTCCTGGGTCCTGAGTTCCTTTATCTGCATCGTATCGAGGAGTTCATGGGTCTCCGGGGAGCCCCGCTGTCCATCAACCAGTTGAGACAGTTAGCATGACTCTCAGACACTCAAGCAGTGAAGCCAGATCTCTGATGGATGCACCTGTACTGGGTATTTTTAGCTCCGGTTTCATCTAATGAAAACCCAAAATAGCGGTGCCTTATATGAGATACTTTCTTTTTCTCTCACATAGGAGAGATGAGGCAGTCTTTCTGGAGGTAGGCACCTCCTCTTTCCACACCACTGTCTCAGCATGTGACTGCCATCCTCAAGGTTACTTCATGGTCCATAATGGCTGCTGGGATTCCAGCCATTATGTCTGCCTTTTGGGAAGCAGGAAGGAGGTAGCTGAAAGGGACAAAAGGTGTCTGTCCCCTGACGCTGAGTGCATCTCTACATTTTGCATGTAAGGTGGCTCACTTGCTTCACCCTTGCTTCAGTCCCATTGGGAACAACTGCCCTGAGCCTACAATCCTTGAATACGCTTTGTTCTTCATACTATTTTACGGGCAGCAATAGGGTGCCCAACATTTTGCCTCCAGTGGGTACTTCAGTCCAGGTGACCACAGGCAGTAACTGAATCAGCTGGTTTGCACTGCATGCAATACCAGATTTCTGTCCTGTGTGCCAGTGGAATTTCGAGAGACAATTTTACTGGTTTATAACATATATGTATATTTGTACGTATCTTTATAGATAGATGCATATAATTATATACACATATATGTATAAAGTCTTCCTCACTTCCCTCAGCCCCAGAGGGCTCCCTCATGCCTCCTCCCGGGTACTACCGCAGCCCCACCCCCATAACCATTGCTCTGACTTCTGTCAACACCAAACCTCACGTAAATCGAATCATACAGTACGTGTCCTTCGGCATCAGCCTTCTTGGGCTCAGTATTTTGTCTATGAGGTTCGTGCATGTCGTTCCACACAGCAAAGCAGAATTCCATTACATGAATTTGCCACAGTTTTCCAACCTAGTCCACAGCTGATGAGCATCAGGGTTGTGTCCAGCATTGTTGTATTCTGAATAAAGCCTCTGTGAGCATTCTTGCACGTGCCCTTTGGAGGACACGTGGACTCACTTGTCTTGGGGTTACCCCGAGGAGTGGAGTTGATGGGGTGTTCGTTTCGCTCTCGTGGACGCTGCCAAACCCTCTTCCTTGGTGACAGTGCCAGTGCCCCCACCCCCACGGCGTGGGAGAGCCCCGCTGCCCCGTGCTGTCACCAGCACCGCCAGTGCCCCCACCCCCACGGCGTGGGAGAGCCCTGCTGCCCCGTGCTGTCACCAGCACCACACGCGGTGGGTCTGTGGGCGTTTCTCTGCTTTCAGCCCAATGTTCTCCGAGGGCCACTCACCTGGAATCCATTTCCAGCACCAATGTCTATACCGGCCACTGCTCCTAGTTGCAAACAACAGAACTCTGGTGAATCTAAGCAGAAGAGGGTTTATGGAAGGAATTAGAAAGCTCGCAGAATGGATGGAAAGGCTGAAGAACCAGGTTCGGGGACTGAGCAACAATTAAGGAAGTTAGTATTTCAGGTAAGTGGCCCACTAACAAACCAGTCCACCATTCGTGTGCACATGGCCCTAGGGAATGGTAGGCTGGGCTGGGTTCTGCTGGGATGCTCCTCTTTGCCCCCACAGGGCTGGCTGGGCTCCTCATGTCGGGGGCCTCACCTGGGTGGGACGGCTGGGAGCATTGGTCCCCTCTCTCCATGGGGTCTCTCATCCTGGTGAATGCTAACGCAGGCTTGGGCACGTGGGGGCAGAGCTCCACGATGAGAAGCCACCATAGATCCAAGGGTGGAGAAAATGGCCTCCACCTCCTGTTGGGGGTGGGGGGCTGCCATTTGATTCATTATCTTTTAGATTTTATTTATTTATTTATTTGAGAGAGAGAGCTTATTTGAGAGAGCAAACACAAGCCGGGGCAGGGGAGGGGCAGGGAGAGAAGCAGGCTCCCTGCCGAGCAGGGAGCCCAATGTGGGGCTCGATCCCAGGACCCCGGGATCGGGACCGGAGCCGAAGGCAGACGCCTCACCGACGGAGCCCCCCGGGCGCCGCAGGAGCTGCCATCTGAAGTCAGCCAGAGCCAAGAGGCTGAGGATGGCTGGACCCCGGTGGCGAGGCTGGAA